GAATTTTCAAAAATTTTGACAAGGGTGCATTTCAACGAGCGTCACGCCCAGGTCAATGCACCGACTGAGACAAAAAAACCTGGGGGTTCAAGTTGAGGTTATGTGTGACCTAAATCCAAGAGATGGGGACAGGGGTCCTTGCGGTCTAGGAGGAGAAGCGGTAACGGTGACTTGTATCCGGCGCCAGTACGCGGAGCCGCATGAGCCGGCGGAGCCGCAGGAGCCGGCGGAGCCGCATGAGCCGGCGGAGCCGTACGAGACGGGTTGGGACTAAAACCATGTGTACCGCCAGCGCTAACGCTGGTGGTACAATAATATATTCTGCTTTACCACAAAAATGGCAGTTATAGCTATTATTCTGATATCTGAGCTTGTCTTTAGACCACGCGACCTCCACTGATGGCTATACTCTGTTATAATCTCTTAAGAGATTATTAAAAAAAAAAAAAGGGGGGACTAACTTTTTATGTAAAAATGGATTCATTAACCAATGGTAAGTATGGGAGCCTGGGTTTTAAAAAATATTATAAGATTTTTAAAAATAAAGTAAATTATATATATAGAGCTATCTCACACACACTTATTGTGGGACCAACATAACTGTAGTCTAAGAAAGTTTTTTGAATATCAACTTTTACAAAGATTGTCCCAGACAACATCCTTACCTGCTAGAGATATTCTTGAGTCTGTATGAACTGCTATCTCCTTTACATAGATAATCTTTGGTTGTTTCTGCCAGTTCAAACTAGGAATCACTAGATTATAAAGAAAAAGACTATACTGATAATTATAGTCTTCAGCCAAGTCAATAGGTGAGCAAAATAAGGCAACTTTATTATTATTATATAATTAAATTTTATGAAATATATTAAAATCTACATGCATCAGTCAATCATTCTTGTTTTCACAAAGAGGGGGGGACATACAAGTTCTCTGACTTAATTAAAAAGTAATAAATGTCACATGTTAATGTACCACCTATTGATAATTTTCTTTAATTCTAGACCAGTGAAGGCCCACCCAATGCAAACTGTGGTTTTCATATGTACACCTTAAAACATGCAAATTCTCAAAAGGTTCCATATGCTTGCACTATGACTGTGCACCTGATCCGATTACCTTAAAACTCTAATAAGATCGGACTTCACAAATAAGCATACGTAAAGCTTCAAACATGATTTACACCCAAGTGTTTTTTGTTAACATTCAATACCAGAGGGGTTTTCTAAACCACCAATAAAAGCTTTCTCAAGAGATGGACTGTTCAAAGCCAGTTTTTACCCTTCTTGTATGTGAATACGCATGTGAATACGCATGGGGAATACCGTATCATGCATGCCCACTTATAGTAATAACATAAAATCAAGTAAATTGCAATACTTATCCCCCCAGCCACCACCACAACTTACCACCTTCAGTAACTGGAAAGGAACAGTTGAGCTGCACATCATCACCCAATTCTACTGCAACTTCTTGTGCTGGAGATTCTGAAACCGAATTTTACAAAGATTAAAGTTGTATATCAATTGATTAATTTAGATTTCAAAATATCTAAGTAGTCATTGAGATTATATCATTTTTTTCTGTAAAAAATTACCTTTCCTACCTACATGTGAATGTCACCAACTCATGAAGAAACAAACTAGGGAGTGAACAGGACATGAAAGCAATTTGGAAGGAAACAAAATATTAGGTTAACATTGTACTGGCAAAGCATTCTTCATCAGTCCGTTTTCATCAGGGCTTACAACAATCCCACATAAATCTAAAACAACTTATTCCAAAAGAGCATATAGATATATATGCATGATTATCTTTAAATGCCCATTATCTCCAATTAACATACAAATCAGTACTACGAATATATATCTTTTAAGGTCTTATATTTCTATTTTACATAAATAATGGTAGTGAAAGCATTTTTTCATGTCTAATATCTGTAATTGAATCACATTTAAATTTGCACTATGAGTACATACATAATCTCTCTATTTGTACTATTTCCAACAAACCAATATGAATTGTGGTATGAATTCAATTCTTCTTTCACAAATTTTGCTAAAAAAAATGTTTCAGGAATTTCTGTGAAAATATTACTTTGTTTCAATTTAATGTGTATGTAAGTATTATAATGAGTTTGCATGAGACCATGGTATCATGTACAGAGGATGGAGACAAGCAGGGTGCTAATTGGCAGACTAAACATTTACTAGTCTCATCTTTGAAAGCTCAGTCAAGCTGTCACTACAAGTGGGCCTGTCCAAGTTTGTTTTTCTCCAGAAAAAGAGTCTGTGGTATTTGATTTAGCCTTTTTTCTATCAAATCATCTTTCGACTTGACACCTGCCCTTAAATTCTCTTCACATCAAGATCATGTGGATTTAAAATGTTAGAATTCTGCTCTCTAATGAAATGCATTATATATGTAGTTTGTGATTTTTCCTTTCCTCCCCTAAACTAGAGGATCAGAGAGGCGATACCGCCTCCTGGTATTGTACCACCAGCTGGAGTAAGCACATTCGTATGGTAAAAAAGAAGGAGGGGGGACACCACTTGTAGTGTTGTGGTTGACNTATGAAGTCATATACTGGCAATCTAAATGTGAAACATAACCTCCTTGGCGGAGGTAATAAAAAAAGAATGCACGTAAAGGGCTGTACGTGTTTGTTTAGCTTTTTTCTTTATAACGACATTGAATTATATTTTGCAATTGGAAGTCATTAAATGATAATGATATAAATAGTTTGTTAAATACATACAAGTTTGCTATGAAACATCGAAATTCAAAATCACACAAAGATGCAGTTATTGCAGGAAGCTAGATGGCATTGCTTTCGAACACACGTTCATAAAATAGCTACAATATTTGAGATGCATTTGAAGACAAATTTTTGTCACAAAAGACGGTCAAAGGGAACTATTTTTTTCAAATTGCATAACTTAGAGAAACACCAATCTACACCGTTGCATGTTACCCGAAAAATGATATATGAAATGTTCTATATATAAGAAGAGCAGATAAGTCAGAAAAGAAAAAAAAAACGGCAGTTATTTGGCTAATCGAGTGATTAAAGAGATAACAACTCTTCGTATGAGATCCATATTTCACAATACATACATTGTAAACAACTCATATAAATATAATATATTCTATTTTTTCACAAAAATGGCCTTTATAGTAACTATTCTTAAATCTGTGCCTGTCATCGGACCACGTGACCTCCATAATCTCTTAAGAGATTATTACCCCTCTCCCCCCCCCCAAAAAAAAAAAAAAAAAAACTTTTTAGAAAAACACAGGGACTAACTTTGAATGTGGAAATGGATTCATTAACCATTGGTTAGCTTGGAAAAATTGTCATTTACCCCAGGAAAATTCATTTTTTTGGCCAAAATGAACAGTTGTTATCCTTTTAAATCGGTTTCCCTTGGCACGTCAACTAAATTTGAGTCGTATAAGTAACTAGTAAAAGTGATTTATATGCGTTACTGGGAATCCAAGCTCCACCGACGCTCGTTCTAAATGTATCTTTAATGATAAAACTAATAAAAATTGTGGGGAAAAAGAGAAGAAAGAAAAGAAAGTGTATTGAAGAATTTGCTTAGATGAAGATTTGGAATTTTACTGCCATCGACGCCAAAGTACGTTTTACATATTTCACTTAAACCATTTATCAATTAGGAGGGAAGATAAATCAATTGAATCTTTTTTGTTTTCTTTTTCTGAAGAAGGACATATTTGATATTTGGTTAAATGAAATGTCCTTATGTTATTCTTGTAGCTTAGGCATTCTGATGATTTCTTGACATTGTGCTTGTGGTGGCCACATGTTCTCTTGAGAGTTACACAAGATATGATTGTGTTAATTGTACAACATTTCTTCATTCAAGGTACAGTCCAAATTTTACTGCTTTTATCAGTAAAGCCCTTTGGTCGATATAGGAAGTGGTACCTTCCAAATCAATAAACTCGCCTGCGTAATCTAGCTGTATGGTTGTAAACCAGTTATGCAAATGTTACCCAAAATATGCGCATGACTGACGAGACTCGGAAAGGAAAAAAAGACCTAGTTAATGAGGGCAACGATGAAGCCTCATTAGGATAAAATATTAGAAGGCTAGTCAAACTAAGGATGCATACTCAATGATGTAGACTTGTGCCTCTTTAACCGCTTTTTTTAAGTTTTAACACGCGAAACCGTCATTTCCAGTGTTGATCAGTGGTTTGGAACTTCTACATGTACATAAAGTGCTGCGAGATATTCCGAGATTTGCAAGGAATAGAATTACAATGTGTCATTGCTTAAAACGCATATAGCGGTAGCCGTAACCAGATAGTAGTTGTTACCCATGGGTTTGAATGGAAAGAATTATTACATTGACGACGTCAAGTTTGAGTTTATAAACATTTATATTCCCGTATCTCACACATACAAATACAAGGGGATTTATCCTCTATTTCTCTGAATTAACCACGCGTTTACTTATTGTCTAATCTACAGGGTACTTTGTCATTTACATATTCAACATTTCCTTATAGGTAATCCCTTTTCGTCTCCTAAAGCTAAAGACCTAAAAATATTATTTCCATTGCGTCATATTTGGAAGGTTCAAAAAGCCCACTTTGCCGCTTTAGTCCACGTCAGAACAGTTCTTTTTGATTGTAAAATTAAACAATTGACAAAACCCTCGTGTGATTTGCCATTTGCCACTTTTGCCTAATGCGAAAATATGTTTCGCACTAGATGACACTAAACAAAATCATATTGCACTCAAAGGTTCTCTACGCTTCCTATCAGTTCGATGGACTTAATTTTTAATGTGCACTTACATAAATTGTGACCATTTGAATTCACAACAGACGTTCGTTCTCGAATAGTATAAAGTGAAATTTTTCTAAAGCACACGATTTGTTACTCAAAACTCTTTTTTATTAGCTTGCTCGGATCTTGTTACCGGATAGTACTTAAAGCTGTGAATACGGAAAAGTAAGTAAGTGCTCAGCTTTTTTTTTATTATTCAAAATGCATTTTTGACTTGCTTCTGCTATTTGTTAACTCAGTGTGGAAGTGGTATATGCATACATATGTCCCCAAGGACCTCTGTTTAAACATGACCCATGGGCATGTATATCCAAGGATACTCTGTCATACCCAGACCTTGACTCCCAGGTGTATTTATACGCAGCTAGGACGTAAATTCCTGCTGGACATAATTTCTTTTTACACAGGCATTTATCGGTGTATATTTACTTATGTTCACATTCTTCTTGTTGGCTTTTTGTACTACGCGTTAGCATTCGGCAGATTTTCTTTAAATACGGACACACGCTATAGATTGATTTTCCAAGAAAGTCATTTTAAATGTATGTGCACATTTCGTAACGTTTGCACCTGGTGAATCAGGTAAAAATGCAATGATGTAATAAGTGGTTCAGTGGTGGGTGAAAGTAAATCAGTGCAATAGAAGTTACAAATTTATAACTTGAATCCTCATTTGTCATATTTACTTATAAAATGCGGGCAATCAAGTGAATGCGACTGATGCAATGAGTGGTTCAATGGTGGATAAAAGTAAATCAGTGCAATAGCAGTTACATAACTTAAATTCTCATTTGTCATATTTACTTAAGTTCTTCATATTTGTTTCAGCAGCCTTTTTTTTCTATTTTCGAAAGATACACAAAGAAACAGGCCGTGAGTCACAGGTAATGGCTTTTTAGTGCAAGATACAAATTAATACACTAACTCTGCTCTAGTTTGGGAAGTTTGCATTCTGTTGTTTGGTTGCCTGACACAGGTCTTGGCTACATGTTCATTCTGTGAGTGACGCTCTATGTTCTTAGCTGTCTAACTTCCTGTCTATGCGACTTTCAACATTCGGGCTTAATTTTTAAGTAGATGTGGATGTCGTTCGCCTTTTCTCGTATGTGCCCATTCTCGGGAATATTTTACTTGGTTTCCCTTTGTCCCTAGGCACCATTACAACGAAAATTATAAAACAGTTAAGAACCAAACCAAGATAAGTCCCTAGTGTTCTTACACAGACATATACAGGCACGCACAACACGCACACAAGCACATACACAAACACACATCTACACACTAAATACATTTAATTTGAAAAAAAATTATGGATTCTATAAAAGAACACTTAAATTGGATTAATAGCAGTCTTCTTTCAGCACCATAGCAAAATGTAGTAAGAGACAATGAAATAGCTGTTTTTGACCCAAAGCCACATTACTTACCCGATCTACCACAGAATTATCCTGAGTAAATACCAGCTATTTTCAAATCTAAATTTTCAAGTAAGGACCAAATTCATTATCAATCAGGAAAGTTTAAATTAATTTGTGTTATACATGTTTTACAGAGTACAGGGCCGTAGCCTGAGCAAAATGCCAGGGGGGCAGTAAGCGGACACGACGGGGAGGGTGTGGGAGGGGGTGTCCCCCTCCCACGGTGTGGAAAAATTTTAAAAACTGT